TTGCTGATTTTTTTCTCTTCCCTCTCGTTTAGATTGATAAAAGAACCTTTACCACATTTTGGGCAATGAATTAATTTCTTTGTCATACTTATTTTAGAAGGTTATATTTCTCGGATAATGAAATTAGGAAAGTTTTTTGCTTATGCTAGTTTTTTGGTGAACTACCCACCGCTTAGAGAAGTGGGGGCTTCTCAGGAATTTCACCTGATGGCTCGAACCGAACCAATTATAATCAACAAGGATAACGAGTATTTACCAGTTCTTGTAAGAGTAAGAAGCAATTGCCTCTTTTTTGATTATTATAAGATAACTTCACACCTTGTTGTTGATTGTTCCTAGAATGTTGACCCTTCAAGGAGCAGTGCCAATAGGTATAATATATTTTAGCAATTCATCCCCCAGTTATAGGACAAGAGGACTTCTTGCTAAAATTATAATAATAATAAAAATCACTATGCCAAAAAAAAATCTAACCAAGGAATTCATAAATACCCATCCAAATAGAAATATAAAATTATTAACGCCGTTAACGCTTACTAAGTCGCTCCATGAGATTAATTTGAAATATTGAAAACAAATTGCCATTACTAATTCGTGGGAGGAAATTGCCAAAAAAATAGAGAACAGTAGTATTTTATTAGAACCGGCTGGAATTCATGTTGGAACATCAGTTTTGACTAGAAAAAAAGCAGCGTTGAATCTTACTAAGATTAAGGATGATTTATTAACTGACCTTAAAGAGTTGGCTTGTCCAAATCTAAGGTTTCCCTTCCTAAACAAAGAAACTGAAGGGGAAGTTAATCTCTCTCTTGTCAATTTAGAACCCGGTGGTGCAATTTTTTTCAAAGAGTATAAATCTGGAAAATGACTTAGTAGTGAAGAACTTGGCACTTGAAAGAAAATTGTGATGTCTCTCCGATCAAGAGGAGAATTTTTGCGGGGGGATGATGACAATTTAACTCTGGGCAGCGAAAAGGCTTTTTCCTTTTTCAAAAAAATCATTGATGAAGATAATGGAAAAATAACCGTTAAATACCAATCGGGGGAATATGAATATAATACTAACGAGTTTGCCAATTATGATATTCCGGCGGGGGTTGAAATTGAATATGAGGAAGTCGAAGCAGCCAGTTCAAGCAAGAAACTACCCGCCTCCCACTCTGCCGAACTCCGGGAACCCGCCGAACCCGACCCCGAAGTAGTCGCTTTCCAAGCAAAATTAAAAGCCGGATATGGGAAATTTTTGAAACTAATTACTGACAATAACATTTCTCATAGAACGAATTATTATCCTAAGTTAGGTTATGACAAGGGATGACCTGAATTTAGAGATTTTTGAGCAGAGTTAGAAAAATTAGAAAAATTAGAAAAATTAGAAAAATTAGAAAAATTAGAAAAATTAGAAAAATTGCGAAGGGAAATGGTTAAGAAATGAAACCTACTTACCGATTTATCGAAAGTCGGTGCGGACTTACCGGCAGAATTATCAGAGAATAATGAATGAAAATTGGCTTTGATAGATTTTCGCCGACAGGTCTCCACTAAAACCTTTTACAATTCGGAAATTAATTGAAACCCACCCCTTAGCGAAGCCGAAAAAGGAATTTTCTATCGTTCCGAGAATTGTAATACTATTGAAATTACCTGATGGTTATTAGAAGCGGTAATAGGGATTGAAGGGGAGGAAGTTTTAAAAGAAAAATTAACCGATTTATTAGCCGATTTAAATTACTGCCAAAACCCGCCATTGGAGGGCGAAGAACGAAATTTTTACCTTGAAGCTTGAAACCTAGTTAATTCGTTGGATAATCGAGCGACGGCGGCTTTAGATAAGTTGAAAAATATGGCTGAGTTGAAAAAAACGCCCGCCCGCCCCGCTATTTTAGGAGAAGGAGGGACAGCAGCCGCCGAAATTACTGCTGATAAGGAGAAAGAAAAAATAACTCTAAAAATGACACCTCCGCTCACCGAGGCAGAGAGAGAGAGAGAGCAAGTGATAGAGAGGAGGAAGTTCTCTCCACTCCCCTCAGTCCCTCCATTTCTCCGACTGGCACCCCCCCCCTTTCCCTTTCGTTGAAAGAAAGGGCAAAGAAAAAGTTGTCGAGACTGGCAGCAGTTCAGCGGACACTGATGGAGAACGGGCTAAGGAAACCAAAGAAGGGGATGGCGATGCTGATGAGACTAATAAAACTAATAAATTAATAAATATGAACCCTCAACAAGAACAAGTAAAAAATTTAATTGATAATTTACTGGCTACCGCAGCCGAGCCGGTATTTTTCTTAATCCTTAAACAGAAAAGCAAAAGTATAAGCAAAGGATTAAGCAGTAAAGAGGAGATTATCGCCAAAGTTAATGGGGATAATTGGCTGGACTATCAGGAAGATATTTGAGTTGCTTTCATAGAGGTTTTGGATAGAAAAATAGCCGCTTTAGAAAAAGCAAGTAAAGATACAAAAGATACAAAAGATACAAGAAGTGTAAAAGAATTAGAACTAGAGAAAGTCCGGGCAATGAAAGAAATTAAAACGGCGTCCATGACTGCTTCAAGCAGCGAAGGTTCAAGCCCCGATTTAGAAAAGTTTTTCGAAAGGATTAAAAGGAAAGAAAGTCTGAGAACATTAACCAAAGAAAAAAAAAAAATACTTTTAGAATTAGGAGCGGATAGCGGCAAAAGTGCTGGTTCTTCCTCAACTGGTGATGGGTCTAGCGGTAGCCGCCCCATTATAGTTGTTGATGAAGCCAAAAAAGAAGAAGAAATTACCAAAACCCCCGCGACCGACACCGGAGTAATTAAATTCTATCACGACGGTCAACCTTATTACGAATTTACCAATTTCGCCCCCAACTTTCCCATCAACTTCCCAAGTTTAGCCGGCTACGAAAATTTAGCGGGCGAGTGAAAGACCAGCGAAGCCTTATTTCAAGCCTTCGGATTTTTTGATAATCGGGAAAAAGTAGAAGCATTTAGAAATTGCCTAACTGCTCGGGGCGCCTTTGAATTAAAAAAAACTTCTGGAAAACCAATCCGAGGTTGGCATGGAGATTGAGCCAGGGAAGGGGTAGATTCTGAAAAAATAAAGGCTATGTCCCAAGTTATCCAGCGGAAAGTTGAACAATATCCAGCTTTGGAAAAAGAGTTATTAGACACTGGATACCAAATATTAATTGAAGATACTCAAAGTAGTTCCCATGCAGATAAAGACGACTGCTGAGGCAATGCGACCTTGTATAGACGGGATACGGATGGCAAAAAAACGGAGCCGACAACCTCCCCTGGAAAAAATTGACTAGGGAGAATTTGAATGGCTCGCCGTTCCCTTTCAAGACTAGAAAAAGACTTCAAACTGTCGGAAGAATGAAAAGAATACTTAACCGAAAAAATACTCGCCGCCACCGAAAAATATTGAGAAGAAGAAACTAATCCAGGCAGCATTAGTAGTAAATTAAAAGTCATTGAAACCGAAATTAAAGTTGAAGCCCTACTAACTAATTTAGACAGCAAAATCCAGCAATTAAAATACCGCCCAGAAGTATTTGAAGAATGATTAACTAAACATCCTGAGAAAGACGATTTATCTGATGAAACTAAAACTCGTATACTTTCCCTACTTAGAGAAAGAAAAATTGCCGAATTGAAAACTTTAGCCGTGTCAGAAGAAAGATATGAAGCATTAGAAGAATGAATGAACGAGACGGATAACTCGGCGAAAAAGTGAATTGACCCGCTTATTGACTATCAAACCAAGTTTTTCACTGAAAAATGACAAAACTTAAAAAATGCTTCTGCTCGAGAAGATGATAAATCATTGTTAGGGGCGACAAGCAGTTTTAACAAAGAGAAAAGATGGACTGATATTATAGAAGGACCTAGATATGATAGGTATACAGCACCCAACATAAGTTTTGGATTCCAAAAATTAAAAGGAGAAGTTCGAGCAATTTTTTCACTTAAAGGAGGTCAGTGGACAAAGGTTAATTTTAACACGGAAAAAGTTAGAGATTTACTTAAAAAATGCCATTTTGAATTAGCCGAAGGAGAAAAAGTAGATAAACCTTTACTCCAAAAACTTTTGCAAAGAGAAATCTTAAAAAAATACTTTGTTGTATCCAGTACTGACAAAGAAGTAATTAATTTTAAACCCGACAGTTGGGAAGCAAGATTATTGACCTTGAAAGCAGAAATAATGGCGGAGTGGGAAAAAATTAAAAATGAAGAAATTAAAGTCATGGTTGATGGAAGCCCTCGGAAAGTTGAAATTTATGATTACGGTAAAGCATGAATTCCCCAGATTTTCAAGGCGGTTTTAAGTGGGCAGGATTCGGAAGGAAATTGACAGTTTTTTCAGGAAGATTGAGACTCGGAATTCGAGGATCAAGCAGAAGCGATTAACGAGGAGTTTTTTAGTTATTTTGACCTCACGGAATTAGACGAAAGAGAACATAATGAATTAAAAACCACAAAAAAAGCCGAAATTAAAACCAACCTCCGAAATTTTTGAATATTTAATAATTTTTGGGCGGGAGTCAATGGTTATCAGGCTAGTTTTGAGGTCGGATATAAACACATCAAAGCCGACTGCGATGAAATTGCAGAATGATTATCAGATAAAGACTACTACAAAAATGAATTGAAAAAGTTCACTTTCATTTCCTTTCCTGCCCTTATTGATAAAGACGAACCTGATTTACCATTTTGCGAGGCTACTCTCTCGGGCAAATTAGAAGCAGCAGAGGAGGATGGTTCCGTCGCTCCCGAAAGTGGTTCCGCCGCTCCCGAAGGAAGCAAGGACACCGGAATTCCGGAAGAAGCGGATGAAGAAATATCCGAAGAAGTTGAATTAACACCCGAAGAAATCGAATGAATTACCGCCTTTAAGGAGGCAGTTCCTCCGTCTGGAAAAACTTGAAAACGCAGTCTGGACGGTTTAAAAGACCATTATATTCTTAAATATCGTCTCTCTCCCGAAGTGCCCCCAACTTTGGCTCGGAAAAGTTGCGATAATGATTGAGAGGTTGATGATGAAATAGTTTGAGAAGATGGGAAACTTATCATTAAGGTAGATGAAGACTCGCTTTCTAGTTATATTTATCAGGTAGAGGAAGTTTTTTTAAGTTCTAGAAATTATTGAAAAGAAATTGATACCGCAACAGAAAGCAAGGAAGAAATTAATCATAAGATTACCTATGTAGAACTGGTTTATGACATACCTTCACCTCATCCAATAGTAAGGAAAGATGGCAGTGTAAAATTAGAAGTCAGTGGGCAGGAAGAGGAAATTATTAAGTTTCAAGGCAAAGGATTTATCCCCCGACACACGAAATCAATTTTAGAAAATGGTTGAAATTCAACGGAGGTAGAAGTCGCCGACCCAGCCCGGCAAAAGACAATCTTGGCGGAATTGAAAGAGTTAAAAGAAACTCCTCGACCAGCCGGAGGGTTTGATTCTTCCTGAGATGGGGAAGAAATCCCGGAAGACGAATCAACCACCGAAGAAACAAAACGCCGAGCACTAACCGAAGAATTAGACAATTTAATTAAGTTTGCCGATGATCGACCCGGCAACCCCCTCTTCATAGTGAAAGAAAAAGACCTTTCTTCATGGTTAAAAACCGAGCAGTTAGAAGAATTAGCCGCATTACAAGGAACAATCAGAACTAGTCTCGACAAATTAAAAGCCGCGACCGAGTTCAATGAGGACACCGCCAATTCATTCCGCCAACTATACAAGGCTCGCGAGAAAGTCGATGAATTTTTGGATCCGAATGAATTATTAAAGGATAGGGAGGAAAGTAGTGAAACGAGCGATACCAGTTTTGAGACTATTAGATCAGAAAATCTCCGCCTAACTTTTCTAATTGATGAAAGATTTAAAAAAAATGATTTATTATCTCCTGCTCAAGCTTATTATTTGGAAAAAATTGCGACAGCCGGAACGAAAAAAGAAGTCAAATTATCGGAAGACAAAATTGATAGTTGGAAATGAAGGATTGAAAATGCTTTTTCCATTTACGAAGTTGTAGGCTATTGGAACGATAGGGTTACTGCTTGGCTGGAAGAATTACCCCGCTTGAAAAATGAGTTAAGGGGGAAAATAAATGCGATAATCACTACTGAAACTTTTTCAGAGAAAACCATTAAAAAATTAAAGGAGGTAGGAGAATTAAAAGATAAAATCGGAAAAATTGTTGATTATGAAGAAGAAGAAGAAGAAGAAGAAGAAATTAATGAGTTAGTCGAAACTTTGAGCAACGAGAAGTTAACTAATCTAGCTCGAGACTATTATATTAAAAAAATCACCGGTTTAGGGAAAAAAGAAAGTAAAATCTTGAAGACTTGATACGAAAAAGTTCACCGGGGGATAGAAATTGCTAGCCAAAAAACTGAGTGAAAGGCGACGATGGGGGAAATTACTAATTTTTTTGAATTGAAGGATAAAGCGGAAACGCTGATTGACTTATTGGAAGAAAAAATAACTTTCTTCGCTACCGGGATAGGGTTTTTTGATGACTTTGACATGCGACGGATTGAGTTTACCATTAATCCGGAAACTTTCATCGATAATGGCCTTGGCTTTCTTTTATTAGAAGAAGAACCAAAAAAAGTAACCATCCTTTATAATTTTGAGGGAGCAAAGGCAGAGGCTAAATATAACTTAGCCAAAGAGCAGTTAGCGGATAAAGAAGCCGCCCAAATTAGCCTGGATATTGAAAAAGCGGACAGATTAAGAATAGAAATGGGTGAAATCCATTTGGATTACGATACTTATGGAACCATTACCCTCGGGGAGGAAAAAGCCGCCGAGGAAGGAGAAAGTTCCGAAACGGAAGATATTGCCGAACCTAGCGACCCCGGTGAAGGCGGTTCCGGCTTACCGAAAACGGTTCCAGTGGGAGACAATAAATTAAAAGCGGTTGAAATTATCACCGCGGATGCTGACACGGTGGAGGGAGTAGACTTAACCGGAATTGATGCCTTAGGAACTAACCGATT